GTGAGCGTGTGTGGGACATCCAGGGAGATCCAGAGTAGCGTGCGTGTGAACAGTTGCTGGGAATACAGCGTCGGAAGGGTGTTGTGATGGTGCACCGGCCCCATAGCCATTCAAAGCAAGTTTGAATCTGTCCTTGGCCACGATATCTCTTAGTTTGTGTGGGCGCTTGGCGCCAGTGTGATTGCCATCTGTTTTCATGCATGCGAAGTACGAAAGAAGAGGAGTCTGATTGCATTTTTGTCATTTCAGCTCAATGCAGCAGACTGAAGTTCAAATCCCAGTAGCATGATCTTTCTTTTGCGCACCTTTTTGTCTTTGCGCGCAGTGCAGCAGACCGAAGTTCAAATCCCAGCGTTGTGTTCTTTCTTTCCTGCGCCTTTTCGTTTTTGCGGTTCCTGCTTCACTTCTTTCTTTTTGTTGTTTGTACGCAGTGCAGCAGATGGAAGTTCGAGTTGGAATTGAAGGAGAAGGTTTTGAGGCACACACACACTGCTAGCCCGCCCACTCACTCACGTGCCTGTCTGCCCGCTCACACACAGACACTCACTCACTCACGCACACACACACGCACTCGAACATGCTATGCGTCGTCAATGTTTTCGGAAAGCTGTCATAGACAGTATGTGTCTCTTCTGCATGGACTATTCCTGATGTCATCACCCACCACATCCTCTCCTAGCATGTCCTGCATGCAGCATTGGGCATACACCTGCTGTAATCGCAGTCTGAACTCCTTCATCCGCGCCACACGAACAGCCGACATAGCAGCCTGAGGAGGAAAATGGACTATCATATGAACCGCCTATGGAGCACTGTACTGATAGGTTATCACCACCGGGGCGAGCTGTTGCCGGACTGTTGCAGACAAAATCCTGCAACTGGTAAACAATGCTTTGGATCAGTCCCCGTCGTCGTCTGTGCTCAATGCAGTTCTGTGCTGGCCCATCTGAGATGCGGCTAGCATGTGATTCACATTCCTTGTCGTGAGCATTACAAAGACATAATCCGTGCAAGTTTTTGCATTCAGACACAGTCAACATTGCACTCGTGTACAGCAGGCTGACATGTCATGTCCAATTTGGAGACGGGCTGGAATGGCAATCCCTAAACAATTGCGATTGCTGTGCCTCTGTGTTCCTAGCATGTAGGAGCCACGAAGCCTATGACATCTGTCTGCACCATGCCATTCGATGCAGCAACTGCAACTGCGAGAATTGGATGCGGTGCTTGCACAGCCCACATCCGAACTTGTCCTGTCGGATCTGTATGGATGGCCACTTAGCGTAAGCATCGGCTGCTCCTCAAGATCTCCTGCAACCCAAACACTGACCTCCTTCTCATATCATTCTAGAGTAGTCTGCTCCAGCAGTGAGTATTGAGAACCCTGTGAAGTTTGTCACTCTTCTGTTCTGTTCCTTGCCCCTCTACTTCCCTTCGCCCTCTCTCTCTCTCTCTCTCTCTCTCTCTCTCTCTCTCTCTCTCTCTCTCTCTCTCTCTCTCTCTCTTGCATGAATGATTGGATGAAAGTCCGAATTACGTGATTCCTTTTTTTTTGGATGTATAACTGTGTGTAGATATGCATTATGTCACTTCATGTGTCATTTCTTGAAAAACTGATTCTCTGTCCTCGTTTGCTAGAGTGACATGATCAGGCGCATACCTACTATGTCATGCAGGCGAAGCCGCACTGACCCCTCTCATCTTTATGTTGATCGTTTACTCGTGTTATGGAGATGTGGCATATGTAGATCCCACACGGGCCCTGTAGGACCCGTGAGGTAGGCAGGAAGGGTAGGGAATTAGCGTCAGCCTGGCGCATTAGTTTTGGCGGCAGAAGTAGGGCCTGAGTCGGTTCAGGCAACGAAAAGGGCCGTTTTAGGCCCGCACCAGATTCGGCCTGGCCAGGCCCTGGTACCGGTAACGGTTCACGCCCTGGCCTATTTTTTGTCCAGTCCACACTTGGACCTTCAGATTCAATCCAAGTGTACGGCCTGATTGCTTTTCAGGCCGCTCATTGTGGGCCTCACGTTAGGCAGTAGGACCTAGGAGAGGTCAGACCAGTAGTATTTATAGACTTGTCTGCCTCTCATTCGGTAGGTTAGTGTGAGTTAGTATTCAGCGTTATGCCGCATTAGTCTTCAGCGCTGGGCACAGTAGCGGTAGGCTAGATGTAGCGATTCTGAAAGCTGCAGTGGAGACTGCAGCGGGAGAGAGGCGGAGGCCAGACACTGGGACTTACCTGATGACTCACCAGGGGGCGCCATAGCTCCAGTTTGTCTTCAGCGCTCCAGTACCAGCGTCAAGCCAACACCTTGCGGTCAGTATCTGGTACCAGCACACACACACACACACACACACACACACACACACACACAGAGAGAGAGAGAGAGAGAGAGAGAGAGAGAG